GTTCATCATATTGTATATTTATGTCATTATATTGTAGACTAAGTTCCACTCATGCAGGATGTTCTGCATTATACTCATGACTCTCAAAAACAAAGGTGATTCCCAGTTTTGACAGGCTGGGTGATGAATGATCATCAATATTGGATACTTAATGACCAGGGTTAGATATTATTTTTTTATTGTCACTTGCCTGTGAATTAATTATCTGCTACAGAAATCTACCTAATGGTAAAAGTGGTAGTCCACGAAGGAAAAGTCACTGGTCCTTACAAGACTAGACTAGTGTCAGAATAGCAGAGTAATGTTAATTTTGAACTTAACACATCAAGACATAATTATCCATTACTAGAATGCGATAGATGCCTTCAAACTTGTTGTTGGCATGCACAAAGTCAAGTGTGTTTCTGAATGCTCATGACTCAACCAGTATGACCAGAGTTTAAAGAAAAGGTTTTTGGCCTGTCCAAAGTGAAGCTGACCCTCCTGTTCAACTTGCGAGGAGTCTGTTTGTAGGGGGAGCTTCATGCAGAACTCCACTGTATAGCTTCCTTAATGATAGTTACTCACAAAATAAGACACTGACAGAACTGTAGGTGGCTGTCATGCTAGTCATGTTTATGATGTCTATGTGATGTCAAACTCTCCTTCTTGTAATGATGACACAGGCTTTCAAACCTTAGGCATTGCAGGTGTACAAGATATCATTTTAACCAAGGAATATTTTGTGTCAGACATATTAAATTGTATGATGCTGTGTATTTATGAGGTAGTTATAGTGTCCCAGGTGATGTGTTCTTTGAGTATTGAGGACAACCTCCCCCAGCACAACCAGGGTGAAGTGAAGCCTGATATTGAAAGGGATTAGCCAGTTTCAAGTCAAATTCAGTTGCTGGCTTAGCGTGCCGATAAAAACTCATTTGATGTCTTTTATCCAATACTATCATTCTTGTTGGAGTAGGTAGCCCTTCTACATGTTTGTGTTTTGTGAAGGAATGTTTATCAAAGTTCTGTTGATATGGTTACATTCAAACCATAGGTCATATTACTTCTACTTGTTCTAATGTTGTGTTTACTTCATGAAAATGAGTGTTGTGAAGTGGGGTATATCCCCACAGTCTACTGTTGCAGTGTTGTCTATGAGGGCCAGGTAGATAAGCAATGAAGGAGAGTTGTAGCTGGTCTACAAGGCCATGAACCCTACAGCTGTTGAGGTGGCCATGACTGATTGAGGTGCCAGCTGGTCTCTAATTACCAAGCTGATCAGGGAGGAGGGTACACATGCATGAAAGTTATCAGAGTTCCTGTAGCCATTGCCTTAACCTGCCTGTAGTGATGAAAACAGAAAGACCATTAGATGTCTTTAAAAATTTTCTTTGATCATGCCAGTGTCAACTTTTAACTGATGTTTATGTTGGACTGCTGGCTTTTTATTGTCAGTGGGTATATAAATATGTGGAGATTATTAAAGGAGTGCATGTGTCATACAGTCAAAATGTTCTCCAAGATTTGTAAAACCAATTGAGTCAACATGTCATAAACAGCCTTTGAGCATATGGTATAGAAGGAAGAACAGGATTCATTCTTCAGAATATATTATGAAAACTTGAATCTTCCTCAGTATTCTGCAATCTTAACATCTTCGTTGCTATGACAACTACAAGTCTATCTTCTTGGAGGAGGTGACATGCTTCAAATTATTTTGATATATGATAAGGTTATGGAATTAAGCGTGGTGTATGCAGTGTCAGGTTACACCCTCGGTTGAGTGGAGCGTGCAGACAGGGCATTCAGGCTGTCAGGCTGGTAGTATCAGTGTACAGCGGGGGGGGGGGGGAACCCTGCAGCAGACCATGGAGGCGGACTGTTGATAAGAATGACTGTACACTTCCTCATACCCTGTTCCCACTTGTTCATTAGTCAAGGTAGTCAAGACTTTTCTTAAAGAGTTTAAAGATTCTGTTGACACTAAAAAATGAAATTGAAACCCAAGTTTTATCTGAAAAGCACTGTTGATTTCCTCCAAATTCAAACTTGCAAGTTTACCATAATGATACTTTGTATGTTTTAACTGCAAGCCAAGTAATGCATCACATGACTTAAACACTTAAAAACTGTGAAATTATAGCCCAGCCTGCTTAGAAAATGAGGTACATTCAACATTTTCCACAGTTTGGTGGTAAGTAAAATCTCCCACAATAGTAAATACCCCCTCTTCTGTAGAATGGAATAATGCAGGGCATATTCCTAAAGGAAGTGTGTGCTCTTAACTCAGATGCCACTGGCTGTGTGTTCTCTGTGCTGTAAGCACATGTGACATGCAGCAAGCATGTGCAGCTTGACAGTTTGACTTACATTCAGCAAGAAACTCCTGACTACTTGTGTAGTCAGGCTAGAAACATGCTGGGGTTTTGTAGACTCTAATTTATCTTGGTGAGAAAAGTGAACTTGGCATTCAAGTCTTGGTCTCAATTCTTGTTTTCTTTTTGAATTTTTTTTTATTTTCTTACATAGAAAAATTATAGTGTTAATTTTAAACTGTGATTACTCTGTTTCTGGGATCAGTTCTTGTTATCCCATAGCATTGCGGAGAGATAATGGGATCTGTCATTCTGACGATCCCTCTTTTTCAAATGCTGACTCGAACGATATTATGGACATACTGATCAATTACATTTGAACACAAGTAGGACTTTTTGGCTTGTGGTTGTAGAGGGTGACAGCTACAGGTGGGTGGTGGTTGTAGAGGGTGACAGCTACAGCTGGGTGGTGGTTGTAGAGGGTGACAGCTACAGGTGGGTGGTGGTTGTAGAGGGTGACAGCTACAGGTGGGTGGTGGTTGTAGAGGGTGACAGCTACAGCTGGGTGGTGGTTGTAGAGGGTGACAGCTACAGCTGGGTGGTGGTGGTGACAGCTACAGGTAGGTGGTGTTTGTAGAGGGTGACAGCTACAGGTGGGTGGTGGTTGTAGAGGGTGACAGCTACAGGTGGGTGGTGGTTGTAGAGGGTGACAGCTACAGCTGGGTGGTGGTTGTAGAGGGTGACAGCTACAGCTGGGCGGTGGTTGTAGAGAGTGACAGGTACAGCTGGTTGATGTTTGTAGAGAGTGCCAGGTACAGCTGGGTGGTGGTTGTAGAGGGTGACAGCTACAGGTGGGTGGTGGCTGTAGAGGGTGACAGCTACAGGTGGGTGGTGGTGGTGACAGCTACAGGTAGGTGGTGTTTGTAGAGGGTGACAGCTACAGCTGGGTGGTGGTTGTAGAGGGTGACAGCTACAGGTAGGTGGTGTTTGTAGAGGGTGACAGCTACAGCTGGGTGGTGGTTGTAGAGGGTGACAGCTACAGGTAGGTGGTGTTTGTAGAGGGTGACAGCTACAGCTGGGTGGTGGTTGTAGAGGGTGACAGCTACAGGTGGGTGGTGGTGGTGACAGCTACAGGTAGGTGGTGTTTGTAGAGGGTGACAGCTACAGCTGGGTGGTGGTTGTAGAGGGTGACAGCTACAGGTGGGTGGTGGTTGTAGAGGGTGACAGCTACAGGTGGGTGGTGGTTGTAGAGGGTGACAGCTACAGGTGGGTGGTGGTGGTGACAGCTACAGCTGGGTGGTGGTGGTGACAGCTACAGCTAGGTGGTAGTGGTGACAGCTACATGAATTTGTTCCAGGTAGCAAGGTAGCTTGAACACTGATGATGAAGCTGCTATATATGAGATTACTCCAGCAGAGGTTTGCTGAATGGATGCTGAAAGGAAACATAATGGTTTTATGGCAGATTTTCAAGACAGATGTATCTGTTGATTATGAGGTAGCATGTGATACAGACACTACCCCACCCAGTGCCATAGAGACAGTAAGCTAAATATTGCTGGGGCATGTAATGTAGACTGATCACCCACAGGCTGTAGGCAGCTGGAATAGTCAGCTGGTAATTACACAACAGCCTATGTTTCAGGAAGTAGCTTCCGATGACAGGAGGCTTCTCCCTGTGTATAGAAGTACAGAAGCTGTGTTGACTAGTACTGAGAACTAGGTACCACGTAGAAAATATTACAAAACATAAATATGTGCCTTCATCCTCAAAACTTGACGTCTTGTCTGTTCATTTCATTAAATATAATTGTAAGCAAGGTGCCTGTAAACATTTGTTGCAGCAAATAAGACTGTAAACGTGGTAAAGTTACAAAGATTGCTACTAGATAGTGATTGTAATTGAATCGTTTCTAGCCTGGGGGTAGGAATTGTGTAGCTGTAGTTGTGTGAGATGAAGATGTTCTCACATTTGTAAATATACAGCGTCCATAGGCATTGACACATTGTGGACACTTTCTGTGCTGACTGTACTGGGTGTAGCTTAGTTAACTGAAACAAGACAGAAGAAATATGGTTGTGTACATTTCCTGAAGTGAATTGCAACTATTAGAGTGTGTTCCTAACTTAATGAGGTGTCTTGTTGAGAGGGGGTGGGGAGAAGTTTCAGTCATGTCCACTGTGTGAACTCCCCACACATGTGTAGGTCAGATAGACTGGCCAGTTATCACTCACAGCTGACTTGTGCAGTCAGCCTGCTTCAACTACAGCTTGAATTACCTCCAGTCATTTGGCCATCTGCCACAACAGTGGGCTCAGCTTAAGGGTAAAGGGATACTTACTCACGGACTTAGTTCACTGGAACTCTCTCATCTGACAAACAAGTTTAGACAACATGTCTTCATTTTATTCATAGGATTTGTGTAGATATCCACTGATGGAATTCTGCTATCCACACTGTTACTAAAGCTTGTTCAGTCAGGACTAAAGTGTTGATGTTTGTTGGCTGATCTAGTGATTAATATCCCACCTCATCTGAGGCGTAGGAGGAGCTAGCCTCAGGCAGGAAGGCACAATACATGAATAGTCAGTCCTCTCCATAACATCAAAAACAGAAGCCTGCTCACAAGTTTTTCTGAGGATGTCCTCCCCAGCCTGTAACTACCACACCCAGGAGGCCAATAGTGACTAGTGACCAAAGTTAGTTTCCACTCAAAGAGTCTGTGGGCACTAAGGGCGGGATTACACTTCCTACGTAGGCTCTCCATAAAAGGAATCTGCCCCTAGGCCTGTCGAAGATGCTAACTGTTGAGACTGGCTGCTGAATGCCTCATAGTGAATGTGTAACTGGCAGAAAATCCTACACCTCTCAGCCATGCTGTCTGTCTCTCATTAACAAAGGCTCAACGCAATACAAGTCTTACTGGCAGCAGATAGAATAGGCCGACACACTTCAACGAGTCTCAGGATATTTTAATCGGCTCACCAACTTTTTGATCTCTGTGTGATGTTGCGTGTCCTCAATCTCTGAGGATATAAAGTTGGCTGAAAGTTTTCTTAGTGGTGTGTAAAAGTGTGGATGTGTATATTGTTTGTTCCGGAACCACATGTCTTCAATTGGATATCTATATCTCATTCTGATATTCTTGTGCTGAAGAAGAGCAGGGTCACCTATTATGCAGAAGAAGTATGCCTGCGTTAAGTATGTACACTCACGGGTAACTGTGTATTACACAAGTAAAATCGAGCTTAAGTGGCGGAGATCACTACATAGTTGTGCCGTGTGTGATGTTGCTCAGTTGAAGAAGTTGGGCCTACCCTGTGGAGCTATACATTATGGGATATGTACAGCTGTTTCACTACCCTTCCCTCTCAGCCTTGTCAACTGTAAAAAATCCACAGGCACACCAGCAAAGAAGCCGATCCAAAGAGTTCAGCCCAAAGTCATCTCACAGGTAGAGTGTATGGTCTATATCAAACAAACAAACCCTAGCTTAGTTGTACACCAGGTAGACACAAACTGAACTTGGGTCACACATTTATTAGTATTAAGGCTGACAGAAGGTGTTAAGATTTGGTGTCAACTAAGTTGAGGATTGTCATAAGCAACAGAAAATGGGGATGTATTCATTGTGTAACTGGGAAAGAAGGTCTCTATTGGGGTGTTTTGTGCTGTTTTCTTGATGTATGAAGCTTTTTATCACACGCATGAGTCAGAGTTTTCAGCATGGTGAATGGCAGTGATTTCCCCTTTTTTACAATACTCTGGTGGTCCAGCCCATCTGCTGTTTGGGGTCTCCTTCATACAAAGTAGGTTACAATAACAGTGTTAACTCACTGTGCCAGGAATCAAAGTAACCTCTTCAGTGGTGGTGATTAATGCTGTAGATAACCTCACCATGCTCACACAGACAGTGTCAAATACTTCAGATACAACAAACTTCACTTGTTTAATGACTGCTTCTGCTTCTGCTTCTGCCTCAAATTGTTATCACTGATTGTACACATGATATATATACATATGCCTTGTGCACACATACCAATAAGAGCCAATCAATATTACCCTACCCCACTGTATGTCCTAGAATCAAGTACGTAAATTCTCTGCTGATATTTGCAGTATGCCAACATATTCTTTGTTTGGCATTTGCTTCTCATACTGATTACAATCATGATATGATTTGCTTTTCATTGTTGCATGTTGAAAATACAGGACCAGCTCTTTCAGTTCAGGATGGCCTGGTCAAGTATGTGTTCCATACGAACATACACAGGGACGGATGTCATTGTTACATGTGTAGTGTCACTTCAGTTGGTAATCTTGTGGAATGTAAGCTTGTGTTGTAGCAGCTGATGCTAACAGGAATACTTGTTCAAATAGTTCTTCAACATGTGCTACTCTCTAAATTTGTTATTGCAGTTGCTGCATATTTCAAATCATTTGCCTAGGAATCAGTTTAATGACCATACCAGTTGACACAGGGAGATACTTGAAATACCAAACCAATGTGTGTAGAGTTGATATTGTCATGATGCTCCAACAGCTGCAGTAGTAATTTCAAGTAACCTTTAAAGTTGTGTCAGCCTTCAGACAGAATTTATCAACAGTAGTGAAATATTGGACCGAAATTGGGTGAAAATAAATGACTTGAGCAAGGCATCTCTTATGAGGACCAATGACATGATTAATGATGATAGATATATCTTATTACATGGTGAGGATATCAGTGTCCTTTGTATTTTGGCAACATTTATTTTCTTCTTTTAATAATTATTTGACCGATTTGAGCCAAAACACACAATTTGGGAGAGAGAAAAAAGACCTTTAGTTACCATTTGCCTGACGATTTCACATTTGATGGATTAGCAAAATAAGGAGCCACAGTTACAAAATTGTACAAAATTAAAGTAACAATTGATTCTTTAGCTACCAGTTAATCAAAAGCAAAAACAGGCAGGACTTTCACCTCATTGTGGCCAACATTAAGGCAATAGAAACTAACAGTTTTTATCCACTAGTCCTTGTGATGATATAACATATAGTAGAACCCTTGAAAAGTGCAAATTTCTACTAGTCCTTATCATACCTTAATTATTGGGCAGTTTGGCAAGGACTATAGGACTAGTGCAAATGTCTAATGCTGCATTACTACAAATGATGGGTGACATGATTTCGACCTTATTCTGGCAAACATTACCACAAGAGTTCCATCACAGGACCATCAGAGATCCATCACAGGACCATCAGAGTTCCATCACCTTACTGTGATGAACATTAGTACAAGAGATGGATGACACGATGTTCACCTTACTGTGGTGTACATTACATCAAGAGATGAGTGACAGGATGTTTACCTTACTGTGGTGTACATTACTACAAGAGATGAGTGACAGGATGTTTACCTTACTGTCGTGTACATTACTACAAGAGATGAGTGACAGGATGTTTACCTTACTGTGGTGTACATTACTACAAGAGATGGGTGACAGGATGTTTACCTTACTGTGGTGTACATTACTACAAGAGATGAGTGACAGGATGTTTACCTTACTGTGGTGTACTTTACTACAAGAGATGAGTGACAGGATGTTTACCTTACTGTGGTGTACAATACTACAAGAGATGAGTGACAGGATGTTTACCTTACTGTGGTGTACATTACTACAGGAGATGAGTGACAGGATGTTTACCTTACTGTCGTGTACATTACTACAAGAGATGAGTGACAGGATGTTTACCTTACTGTGGTGTACATTACTACAGGAGATGAGTGACAGGATGTTTACCTTACTGTGGTGTACATTACTACAAGAGATGAGTGACAGGATGTTTACCTTACTGTGGTGTACATTACTACAAGAGATGAGTGACAGGATGTTTACCTTACTGTGGTGTACATTACTACAAGAGATGAGTGACAGGATGTTTACCTTACTGTGGTGTACATTACTACAAGAGATGAGTGACAGGATGTTTACCTTACTGTGGTGTACATTACTACAAGAGATGAGTGACAGGATGTTTACCTTACTGTCGTGTACATTACTACAAGAGATGGATGGCCATTTATGTTGCATACTATGCTAATATGTACAATCATCATTGACTTCCCCAGAAGACCTGCTGTACGTCGGTGACTTATGGTTACATATGAAGGTATTACCCCTACTGTTGATCATGTTTCACCCTTCTAGCCCTTCGGGTAGCTGACTGGCTGATGACTCACACAGCATCAGCTGTACCCAGTTTGGCCTGTTACAGGTGAAATGAGGTACCTTAAACATCAAACAGTAACATTATTTACATATATCTACATGTATGAAGACTGCTACCATGTGCCTTGACCACCCATGTATGTTAATTACAGTATTAACCTTTGGGTGTTGGTGACACTCACTGGAGATTGTTCCTTTGTATTGTAATGAGCATCTGATAGCTTCATGTGTATTCAACTGACCCCTAATCTTTAACATGACCGACATTCAAGTAGCACCAATGTAACAAATATTGTCATGTATAGCAATGTTGAGGTGTTTGTATGGACTGAAACTAGACGAGTTGGAGAAACCTAGAGAAACTATTCGATTATAGATTCATTGGTCTACATTGATTGTAATTCTTTTTCATGTGTTATGGATTGACCTGTCACCAACTGGAGGTAAAAAACACCTATTTACTGTTTTTGATGGATCATGTGGTATCACAACAAAATGTAAGAAAACTATATTTTTCCAGATTTGGATGATTATTTGTTCAGTACCATGGGGTGGTTTCTGGCCAATGCAGTTCATGTTCATGTATAGAATAGCAGAATACGTTGCCTACATTTTAGATGGTTAGCATTTATATAATTTTGATAACCTGTCCAAGTAACAAAGTGTCATGCCAAGTACACATATTCAGACTTGCACGAGCTAATCGGTGAGTTTTCAAACCATGAAGTATAAAAGGTACGACCTTATAACTGTCACTGTGAACAAGTTAAAGGGGCACTGATCTAAAGCAATTCCGTGGGACTGGTTGTTGCTTTTGTTATTGTTTACCCCGTGAGTACCTGGATGATACGCAACGCAACTGAGCGTGACAAGAGACTGGGCTACCGTCTGCAAGGACGGCTAAATAAACTTGGAGGCAATATTTGTTTTACTCATTTTTGAACACTGATTGGTTAACCGTGATTTCTACAAAAGGCGCATGTTAATTAATTTCTTCAGCCTAAACAAACAGACAAAAAGAACGGCTTAGCTCATCGGATGTCGTCATTTGGAAATACCCCTGATTGTTATAGTTTAATAATAAAAAACAGTATCCATGCAGTGAAAGCATTTTCGGATTTCGGATTGTGTCGATAATATGATTACTACTCCCTTGTCATCCACGTTTTCTGATATAACCCTACACTTGTGTATTTGAGAAAGGTTCTGATTTGGCATTTATTGTGTCTGGGGTAATTATTCAATCTAAATCCAGGTTTGTGAGGGGAAATGTGTGTTATGTAATGTCAACATGGCAGCCCAGCAAGAGATGAATGATCAGTTGATTTACTTTTTTGTAAATCAACGGATCATTCCAAGTCATCATAGGATTAACCGAAAATACATTGATTGATTAATCACTGTTATCTTGCACAGTGGATATGTCAAGAGTGAGTGTTTTCATGTCTAGGTTTACTAAAACAAAGGGAATACACTTATGTCATGGCGTGAAGTGCCGATGTAAAACAACATACTTTGTTCAAAGGGTTAATCGATAATATGTTGATTGATTGCTCATTGTTATCTAACTCAATGGATATTTTTAGGAACCGTGGACGTTATGAAAATAGTTGTCACATGGGCTTTCTCAGCCAACCTTTGAGATTTGACACCTATGTGAAACACCTGAAACAAACTAAGTGATCAGTTGAGAAACGAACAAGGCTTATATTATCCCGAAACGATATATATATATTTTAAAATATTTGATTGTTACAGACACGTGACATTGAATAAGTTTCTTTGTACAGCTGCAGGCTTGTGGGATAGTGTTCCTTTGTGTGTGGATATTCACGGATACATTCCTCGAACAAGGAAGCTGCCTACAATTATACACATAAATTTGGTAGGTTGTAATTATGATATTTGCATTGTTTTCCTTCATTTGCTGTAGCATTGGACAGATTCATTCTTGTTCCTCTATGTCTTAGTTGGGAAATTCTTCGATGCGCGATAGATGTTGTTTTCACAAGACTTTTCCTTTGTAAGCGTGTATATGTTACAGTCAATTTGTAAAATGTGATTCTCTCTGGCAGTTTATAAAATGTGTAAATATTTCAGTCATTTTGACTGAATAATCTGTCCATTTCTATAACAGATTGACTAAAAATGATTAAGACGATCAAAAGGGCCTAAAACATCACAATAGATTATTATGTAGGATTAGAAGCCAAACAATATAGAAATGGGCTTTTCATCG